ACGCTACACACCCTTTCTTTGCCTCGAATACTTAATCTCTTCGACGAACACGCAAGTTCACTCATACATCAGGCTTAAAATCCACCCAGCTACCTCCCCCACCTAGCACACATCGCTTGAGTCATGAGAAGCCATGCGTCTTCTTTCCCCCCCTGCCCGGCTCTCATCCTCCGTTGGACGGTCAAGCCAATCATCAAGAGGCAAACTGAACGAGCTCTCGCCATCGGGGAAAGAACAATCTGTCGACTGAAGAGTGCACCTGAGCTCGCTCTCGCTCCCTTCGCTCTGCCTCTTGCCAGTACTTTGCCTAGGAGAAGCAGTAGCCGCCCGGTGGGTCTCACTATCGTGCAGATTGAATTCGGTTTCTAGACCCAGATCACACAGACTTCCAGTTCCACATTGGTAGTCTTACAATCTGGTGTCAACGATTGATTTTAAGTGGATCGAGATCTCGTCGGCTAGCTGCGCCTCGAATGTTTTACGCCAATTAGAGATAACACCCTCGGCTATACTCTTGCTTTTTGAGACGACATGATCCTGTTCCGCTTCATATAATAGTCCCTGATCTTGATCTGCGAATGTAGGCGGTCCGAGGATAGCTGTATGTCCCCATACCGAACCAAACATATTTTGGGAGATGTCCGTGGCGGACTCAGTTCCAGAAGGATCACCGCCAGCGTTCGACACTTCAGTAGGGATGGTCGAACATGCTTCGAAGGCATTGGGCAGTTGACCGGCAGGTGCACAGAAGACCTTGGCGGAGACTTTCCCGTTGTTCAGAGGGAACGCATCCGTTTCCATGCTGTACAGAGCTTTCTCGTATCTTTCGCGAGGATGTCTTGATGCAGTGTACAGTCTGATCAGCCTTTCCGCAGTCTCGATGGCGAGCTTGCTAGCGTTCTCGGTGATCTGAGTGCTTCAGATCAAACTTTGAGTGGCGATAGGCTCCACCCAGGTGTGTTCCGCGCCTTGAGTTGCAAATGCAGAATTCAAGACAGGATCCGGTTCCTCTTCCAGATTCCGGATGCGTAACATGGCTATTATCGCTCGCAAGAGTTTAAGCAACTCGTTTCGTCTGGCTCCTGTACGCGGCGCCGGATTTCCAATCCTCGAACTGGTCGGATAACTGGGGTTCTTCTGTCGGTGCGACACTCGTCTGATCAGGTGTCCCGTCGCCGCCAGTTTCTGATGAGGTGCCGATGTCGATGTCGTTGGTAGTGTCCATGTTAGACAGTGTCTGATTGGGTGCCTGTAAGGGAGCAATGAGGTAAAGACTCAATCAAGACAAGGTCAGGTCAGCTGCAGTTGTCGCCATTTTATATACCTGCAATGGCTGAGAAGCAGCCTGCACCCCTCTCCTTTCGTGACGAATTCGGCTGAGAGCATTGCAAAGGCAAAAGAGTCTTCCATTCCTGTTGGCGAATCTTCGTTCGACTCGAGAGTGCAGAGGAAGGATGGTGACAGGTCGTGATGACCTTCCTGCTCGTTCAAGGCATCCTTTGTATTGGGCGACGTCTTGCCAGAACCCTTTGATCGTCCGGACATTGCTATTACGTGAGACCTCACTGGATCGTTGTGGATCCTACAACGCTCAAGCAAAGGCGGGTACTTCAAGCCTCTGCATATTGGATCTACGATGGAATGCTTATGTTGGTATTTCGGTCAAGGGGCGCGTTTGCGTCACCTCACCACCATACTGTAGCTTGAAAGACCAGTCCTGGAATCACCATATAAGATTGATACTTAAACGGGCGAGCTCGTGAAGTCGGGCGAGACGGCCGAAACTATTCATAACTTTGTAAGGGCGAGATGTCACAACGACAGGACAGCTGCCGGGTTTTGCCGGCGGTTTTGTCGTTGCTGTACTCGAGTACTGTAAGAGCACAAGAGCAGCAGCGCATTGCTCTTATGCTCAAGTCAAGTGCGAACATATCGGGCCGATCCTGCCGCAAAATTTCACAGGTTTAAGCTTATCCGAAGCGCCCACGAGTACAATTTGGTCAGTTGTGATTGGTTGAGAGATGCCGAGTCTCGCCTATCGCCTATTTGTCACTTACTCGTACCAACAGTTTATCTATTTTCAAGTCGGTCTACCAAAATAACAAAATTATCTTCGGCCGATACTTGGCGAATCCTGGCAAAGCAATAATAAACGCCAGAATGCGACGCGAAAGGTCTGTTAATAATCTGATATCGACTCATGGCGAAAAATGGGTCTCGACAGAGAGTGAAGTCATCTGAGGAAAAGTCAGGTCTACATTCGCGCATCTCTGCCATTACAATCTGTTCGTCTACATCAGTTTTGCAAAGGACTAAACGACACTGCTAGTGATTGGGTAGCAGCAATAACCGTACGCGACACGACGATTGACGTAGAATGACCGCCGTCGAAGAGAAACTGGCAGGGGCCCAAGATGTCGCTGCCCAGGGCGACTCGAGGACTCCCTCGACTATTCCGGACCATAAACAGGCTCTCGCTGAAGAGATCGCTGCGATGTCTCCCGAGGAGTTTGAAGCTGCCGAGAAGAGATTAGTGGCGAAGATTGATAGGAATCTCGTGCCATGGATGACGTGAGTGTTCTTGATACATAACGGACGGAATCTCTGACTGACATATGGCCATGCGGGTATCCAGCCTCCTGTTCACGATGTCCTTCCTTGACCGAATCAACATTGGTACCGCCAAACTCGCTGGTCTGAATACAGATCTCGGCCTCACTTCGCTGCAGTACAATACTGCCTCAATGAGTGAGTCCCCAGCGACTTCAAGCCACAGTCGGTAGAACGCGATCCCCGCTGACAAAAGCTATTCCGCGAATCTTCAGTCTTCTTTGTCAGTTACGTCGCTGCCGAAGTGCCGTCAAATCTTGTCTTGAAGAAGTTCAGACCCTCAAGATGGATTCCATTTATCATGATCGTTTGGTCCCTGTTCCAGATCTTCAGTAAGTAGTGGTGGCTCATGCGTCTTCTGGCTCAGCGATCACATTCGGCTCTAGTCAAAGCTGACCACGCTTGTTGCATTAACTATAGTGGGTCTTGTCACGAATTACCACCAGCTTCTCGCCATGCGATTCTGTCTCGGTCTCGCTGAAAGCGGTGAGCAGATTTCTGTTTTGCCTCGCTGTAAGAACGATTCGCTAAATATGCAACTTATATAGGTCTTTTCCCCGGTATCTCGTTCTTCTTGACCGGATGGTACAAGCGTAAAGAAGCTTCTAAGCGGATCTCGCTTTTCTTCGCCGGAGCAGTGCTTGCTGGAGCTTTCGGTGGTATCCTGGGCTGTGAGTGCCTTTATATAGCAGACAAGAAGTTAACGGCGCTGATGAACACGACTCACAGACGCCCTGAGCCGAATGGACGGCGTTGGGGGCAAAGCCGGATGGTCCTGGATCGTGAGTATGTCCCTTATCTATGCAAAGCCTTGCGACTGACCTTTAAATACTGGCAATAGTTCATCATTGAGGGTCTGCTCTCCTTCGTCATTGGTATTGCCTCGATTTGGATGGTCCACGACTGGCCTGATCAGGCCAAGTTCCTCACTCCTCTCGAAAAGGAGATGGCTCTTCTCCGACTCAAGGAGGACACTGGCGTCATGCAGGAAGGCACATTCAGCTGGAAGGTTATCAGGCGAGCTCTAAAGGACTGGAAGGTGAGTGCAGGAAATCTGATTGTTCCGTCGTGATGGGAACTCTTTGCTGACTATACATCCACGTTAGACCCCTACTTTCATGCTCATGTACATCGGGTGTGCCGAGCCTATCTACAGGTGAGCGCGAATTGATCTCCTTCGTGCCAGAATATGAACTGACGGCCACTGTTGCATAGCCAATCGCTCTTCTCCCCAACGATCATTGCTGCCCTCGGTCGGTTCACTACCCCTCAGTCTCTCCTGCTCAGTACACCTCGTGAGTTACGGCGTCCCGACCCTGCGCGATCCAATGTTGGTGCTGACCTTACTCTATAGCCTACGTTCTTGCTTTCATCACCACGATGACCACCGCCTACTTCAGCGACAAGACCGGTAAACGAGGCATCTTCCTCATGTTCTGGTCATCTATGGCCGCCATCGGTTACCTGCTCTTCTTGACGATCCCCATCAAACACTCTGTAAGTAGTCATATCCTCTCTTTACCGTTGTTGTTGACGCTGACAGGCCTGGGCAGGGCGCGCTGTATTTCGCCGTATTCTTGACGACTTGCTCTATCGCTCCTTGCATCGCCACAACTATCGTGTGGTCCGGCAACACCTTCGGAAACCATTGTGAGTACTGATTGATGTAGCATCAGATGTCCGGATCGCTATGTTCACCGCTGATAGTTCCTTGATTGGCTCTCACTTACAGACAAGAAGGCCACATCAATGGGTTTCATCTTCTCCCTGGGAAACAGTGGAGGTATCATATCGAGTCAGGTCTACCGAGGCAAAGACTCTCCCCGATTCCTCGTCGGTCAAGGAGTCACTTTCGGCTTCTCGTGCATCTGTCTTCTCGCTTCCATTACCATGTACTTTGGACTCAGAAGAGAGAATGCTAGAAGGGAAAGGGTGTACGGACCTGCTCCAGGACCTGGTCAGACTAGCGAATGGGAGAGCGAGGAGGGAAAGAAACGGTGGGGTCTCGAAGGGATGACCAGGCAGGAGATCGTCGATCTGGGTGATGATCATCCTGCGCACCGATTCATCCTATAATCTGACCGTAAGACTATCTGGTTGACAAATCAGGGGGTTGTTTTCGGCACGTTATCTCGTAGGTGTTTCATTAGGGAGTCACGGTCTCATCTCAAGCATTATAACCTAGACAGGTAGATAATAGAACATTATAGTCATAGCAGTGTTCACAGGTCCAAGGTATGCAATCGTTCTTATACAGTATGTTCCCTACAGCCCCCACGGCAGCGATGCAGAAAGGGCGACAACGAGAGGTAGCTGCCGTAGCGATAGATAGCAGTAACTAAATTCTTCCCTCTGCACAGACAAGTCCACAACGGCGCAAGACTTCATCTTCGGCCATAGAATCGAGAAAACACCACATCCCGTCCGCTCTGTGAAGTCTTGAAGCTCGATATCGCTGAGTCAGTACCGTTGTGGGGGACTAGATGGGAATCCTGAGTGCTGAAGTTTTTGCGAGCACATCTACTCCACATGCTGCACTGCAAGGACACTGTGTGCATCAGTGAATTGAATTACTACAGTGTATATTCTCGGTGATCAAGAGAGAACCAAAGCAGTAGCGGTATACTGAATAGCGGACAGAGCGAGAATAGCCAATGTGGCGGTCACCTCCCCTCGGCGATCTCAGGCCGGCATCGTCGTCTTTCTTCGAGCAACCAAGAGCTCTTTATCGTAGTGCTAGTCTTCCGCTTCCTCTTGTAAGCTCTGCATACCAATGCTTCTGCCTCCTGAGGACGATAAGATGCGTCTCCCAGATCTGTGGTTCACGGTGCCCTCACCGCTTGAGTCTCTGCCAGCCCTAAGAGATCGATTGTTGTTGCGGCCGAGCTGTGCTGTACCTCTTGAGACATCCAAAGTATCTGGTGTGCGAGCAGTGGATAGAGCATGCGACTTGTCCTTTGAAAGCTGCGCATCGGTCCCGAAGGTAGGAGGGGCATCAGGCGGCCCTTGACCAAAATAGTGGGACGCTCGACGCCTCAAGTCAGCTTCCTCCTCTTGTGTCATCGAAGTTTCGCCGCTAGACGATGGGCCAATGGTGGTAGCGATGCTTGCGGAACCTAGCATTCCCGTCCTCACAGTGACAGAATGGAGCGAGTAAGAGGGTTCAGCCCTCAGCAAGTCTTGCGCGATCGGTCCTCGACAGAAGTACTCCTCGCCAAACGATTGATCACAGTGAGTGCAGCCAAGGACCTCGGTGTCGGTCTCATCGGTCGCCCTTGCGTTGTGAGAAAGCATAAGTCTCGTTGAGCCGCTATCATCGTTGTCTTTGAGCTGCAGGTTGCTCAGGAAAGTCGGCACTCCGGCCTTGTGACCTTGGTGTACTCGTTCCATTTCTCTGTCTCTGTCCGTTTCAGTGGGTTGCGACAAGGCGGTACCAGCAGCACTTGCAGTCGTACCTGCAAAGCCGCTTGCATGGGATGATTGAGCTCCCCGACGCATCTTCGCCGAGTCTGTGGGCACTGCGTGGGTGTTTCCGAAGAGACCGCTCATAGTGCTAGTGGTTTGAAAGGATATGGTTATTCAAGACGAAAAGGCAAATAGAGAATCCAGCAATGGGATGTGGGGGTGGCAACAGGACTCTTCCTCGCGGTCGTGAAGTACTGTTTGAGCGCATAGGATGCACGAATTGTGCTGCACTCATAGTGCTCACTACACTTCAACGACCAGAGCTGTTTTGACGCTTCTGTACATATACTCCGAAGCTTTCAAAGGATAGAAGTACAGCTGTAGCCCACCCCGCTCCTTTCATTTGCCACCCTTGTGCCGCAATGGATCAGTGGGTCAGCTCAGCCATAGCAAAGGCGGAACATGACGTCGACAGCTCGTCGTCTTACATGGACTGACTGCACATAGGCAGGGGTTTTCGTCTTACAGCAACTTTCAGTAAGGTCCTTGATAGACACGAAGCAAGCCCGTATAGAGATTCAACCAAAGCGGGAAGCGAATTGCATCTACAAGGGAAAGGTTGTAAGAAAACCACTCTTTTCAATCATGCCGCTGCCATGATCTCCTCTTATCTACTCGTGGTACGACTCGATACTCAGCCGAGAGAGACTTGTCTACCACCCCGATTGCCGGCCTGTCTTGCTTTGACGGTTGTCACCAATTGATCCAAAGGTATGACCCAACCCAGCACTTTTGTTCGACGTCGTCGATGAAGGGCGTGCCGGTAAGGAAGGCGCACCATAACCAAGCTGGGCGTAACCTGGGTAGCCACTTGTACCGGTTCCTGGGCCCCAAGGGTGTTCAAGCCCACCGTACAGACCGCCAGAATGGCCTGAACTGAGCCCAGTCCATTGATCATCCCGATCATGCGGCCCAGAGGAGCATGGCCCGTCCGGTACCGAATGCGTCAAGTCTGATAAGTCATCTTGTTCAGACGAGGTAGGGTCTGCAGCTTCATTGATGGTGATAGATGGCGTCGGTACAAGAGGCTGTGGGAGCCATGCACCTCGTATCTCTTCATTCTCCGAATCCAGAAGAGATGGTTGATCAGATGAGGGGATACCATGGGACCCGGCTCCAGGTCGGAAGTCGAGAGCTTGTATGCTGAAGTTGGAGGGGCTGGTCGATCCCGTAGCACGGTTGACACCTGATGCGAAGGTGCTCGCTGCTGGATCAGTAGAGTCAGCCGGGAATGTGTTTGTCTGGGTACTACCTGGACTCATCATCCACTGTCTCTCCTGCTTTTTGCATGCTTTCCAATTTTGGAACTTCCTCTTATACTCGAAATCTTCGGTCGATGTAGGCTCATCGCCCGTTCGGGGAGGATTTGGTCGCATGGTTGACCTGAAGTAACCTTGAACGAAAGCGTCATCATCTCTCTCCTCAACGGCGTGACTAGGGAGCTGACCCTGTTTCGCTGCCGCGAACCTGGACTCGATGGCTTGTTGCTCTGTGGCACGACGGTTCGGACCAAAATGGTCACGTGCTCACTCGACTGACTGTAAGGAGCAGTGGCATGCTGATGAGGGTTGCGTCGTCTCCTCCTGTCATGGGAGGCAGAGCGTGCTGGCTCTGAGAATGCGAAACCCGTGTTTACCCTACCGTAGTAGGGGTGCCCATCCCAGGTGGGGGAGCATGTAACAGGGGGAATGCTCCCAGGAAGTTGCGAGCCAATAGGTTCGGTCCCTCTGAGCCAATTTGAGACTGAAGGATGCTGCGCGCTGGGCTGTGGTGACCTGGGAAATCCGGTGTGAGAAGAATAGTAATAACGCCCTTCACCGGGGTCTGACGATCCCGGGTAATGATTCTGCATCTTTTGACACAATGTGAATGAGAGGCTAGGGGTCGTGCAGGGCAACGTGTCTGTTGGAGGGCGATTCACAAGATAGAGTGAAACCGATAGGGGGAAAGAGGCGAGCGACCCAATTACTAGCGACGTGAGTTGTTTGTTTGTGAAGCTGATGGATCATTCTAAATCGACCATTCTTCCCCTTTAATAGCTCAATGCGGGGACGAAAGCGTCACCGCTGAGACAGTATCGAGAGGGGCACGTTGGGTCGCCTCAGGAGGTATTGCTCGGACTTTATCTATCGACTACATACTGAAAAGAACGATAAGCAGACAAACGGGGGCAGTGAAGGGGATGAAAGGATGGAACGAGTGAAAGGTTTCGCATATTCGAAAGCAGGTTCTTCTTGTGTGTGTACAGTACGAACATAGGTGTGCTGTATTCTGTCAAGTTTGCAACGCTTCGAGTCCAGGTCTTTCAGAATACTGTTGCTTGCCACCAAGGGTCCACAGATGGGCTAATACTTCTGCGCCCGAGCTGGTATGAGGCTTATTCTGAAAAGCAAGAGTCGGATATGACGCTCTCGGGCTGCAGCCTGAATTCTATTCTCTAGGCTACACCGTCTGGGCAGACCACACCGCATGCATTGTGCTCAATCATCTGAATCCTCGTTGTGAGCAATCTCGAAAGCCTGTGGCGAGGCTCATGAGGTTCGATGTACAAAGAATATACCCAGACAATCTGCCGATAATGTAGAATCATCTTATGATAATATCAATGCTGAGTCGACATGTCTCAAACGGTCGATGTCTCTATTTCCTCCCCGGCTGTCTCATCAAAGCCCTCAACTTCATCTTCCTGCTTCACTTCCGCAGCCGCTGGATCGAGTTCCAGACTCTCGTCAAAAGCCACCTCAATCCCTGCGAGTCTCTTCTGCTCGTCAGTGAGGTAAGAAAAATCCAAATGTTCGGCTGCTGCCTGAAAATTGTTCAGATGCCCAGCGTAGTTCAAGGTGTCAGCTTGCAACGTTCCGGACGGCGGGTTGGCTAGCCGTCACCGGGGTGTGAGATATCGCTGGCAGATAGCCCTTCACGGAGAGACCGGAGGTCTAGGATAAATACTCATATGTGATTTAGTGAACTTCACTACAGCACTCACTTCCATTGCTTGAAAATTCACATGAGGCCCTGCGGCTCTTAGGGGCAACATCTTGAAATTGAGATAGGAGCGTTGAAAAGCCAACAAACAACCAGTCAGCTTTGCTACGATCAGTGTGGCGCGAGACAATTCACCTCAACCTCTTTGGGCCCAGCGTAGGTCGATGCCTCCACGAATGCCTGCTGCTGAGCAGCCAAGTCTGCTCCTGATGAAGGTTGATCGTAGCCACCGAAGTATTGCCCCACACCGCCCTCATATCCGTTTTCTCGTCCGTAGAGGGTATTGATATCAAGGTGATCCGTCTCAAGGGAGGCTTGGACCTGGCTATCGCCATAAGAGCTGGGGTCAGGCATTGGGAGTCTGATACCATTTGGAGCGATCCATGTAAGAGAGGGTTCACAGCCAGGTCCAGCACTCATGTCTCCCCCTAGACCTGGCATAGAGCTAGGTGCAAAGCGGTTCGAGTACTGGTGGGTAGGGCCATTTCCATACCGGAAGGAAGCGGGGGGAGGACCATAAATTGATGGAACTGGCAGATATCCGTAGGGGGACTGCCAGGAAGGGCAGTAATATCTATCTGCGCCAAATCCGAAGTATGCGCCCGCTGAAGCGTCGATACCAGGTCCTTGTTCGAAGGACTGACACGAATACCCATGCCTGTAGGTTTGAGACATATGGGATCCGGCAGTCTCCATGTAGGGCGGAGAGCTCACGCCGGAGCCTGTATGGTTCATTGGAAGGAAGCTTCCCGCTACGCTTGGCTCGGTTGGAAAAGCGAATCCATTCCCAGTATCAGTATGACACTGCGGTGGCGCACCGCTTGGCCTGTAATCTGCCGTTCCGCCATCGGTCGATAGTGTGCAGGTAATTGTCGGCGGAGGGAGACTTCTGGGGTGCGATAGGCTGCTCGATATACAGGGATTCGTATCGGATGCACCGCCATTCTGCGTCGTAACGGGGTCCGAAGCTTTCTGCTGGGCGGTGACTGATTGTTGATGAGGGACGCTTTGATAAGTTTGTCTGGGCCAGACACCGCTAGAGCTAGCAGGGGCTAAGG